ACATGGCCCCAACAATGTTCCGAACAAGTTCCCTGGGGAACTTCTTCGCAACTTGAAAGTTTTTTTATAAGGTCCATCAAAGCCTATATGAAACAATCCGCACAAGTCCTTATTATTCATGGACGTAAATATGAAATGATCAATGGCTCAAATAAATCATAACTCTTATATTTATAAATTGCATCAATATTCTATCCAAACATTAAAAAAAAATTAAAGAGCAATTTCCACTGTGCCAAAGGTGTGTTGGAACACCATGTTGTCCCACACCAATTTAAAATTAATTTCATTCAAGTCAGCCAGCTGTAACTGAAAACTCCAACCGTAGGTGGGACAACAGCATACATTAATATATCTCAGATGGCGTAACGGTTCGTGCTGGGGCTCTTACGCAGCTGGACATCAAACAGCTCTAATACTACTACTAATGCTGATAAATCAATACACGTTCATACCTGGCTTTAGAAATAACTTTTATAAAGACCTGACTTAAGAATTAACTTTCATAAAGTGCGAACTCAATTGGTGTCGAGGACAAAAACCGAAACCAGATACCGGAACTTTCAAGTTCTTATAATGACTTAAAAAAGAAGGCTGCTTAGAATTCTATAGACAACCTTCAACCAAGCTGCTTAAGCCTGAAATAGCCTTTTATTAGAACTTTTGGTTACTTGAGTGGGTGCGCCTGGTTTTCAATACGTTCTCTCCTAGTTCCTTCAACTCCGGATCTTCTCGAACCTTCCGGAGGAGTGCAGCGTACGTTGTTTTGTCTTTTGCTTCGACGATCAGACGCTCCCGACGAGTTCTGGGTATCTCCTTCTTCTGTTCTTCTTTCATATTCACTTTTTCCTATTCATTTCTTCCACTTCTCCTTCGGCTACTCGAACGTACGCCATCCTTCCTCTTTGTTGTCTTCCTTATCGTTTATTCAACTCCTCCTTCCTCCCCTTCTCCAAGCGTGAATTTCGGGGTCCCTTCGGCGTCTCCTGTGCTTCAGATGTTGCTTTCTCCTTGGCCTCGATCAGTGCCCTTGCTGCAGTCCCGGTTCTCGGTCCTCGGTCCAGCATCCTGTTCACGTTCAATAGAAAGCATGGCAGATTTGATACCCGCACAGTTCGAAAAAGTAGTGTAAATTTCTGTTCAGTATGATGCACATAAATGGCGCGTCACATATCATATAAGTTTACATTATATATCATGCAAAGCTCTAAGACATTTCATACAATGTAGCAAATATTGTTTACAAAAGCCCATTGTTGTAAACAAACTTGTTTACAAGTTGTTCGGTTGCGTGAAATGAAATACAAATTTACGTGAATGAATGTTTACATCACTATTAAAATTCTGAATTTTTATCTGTGTGTGCTATTGCTAGTTTTTGGTGTCAACATCTTTCTAAGCACAAGACCTAGCTCTCCTTGGGATCCTTGCTGCTCACGTTGGGAACTTGCTGGAACTTGCTGTGGCCACCAGTTTCGACACTGGTCATCTCTGTAACATCCCGCTCATTGCGAACACGTCCCAAGTAAAAAATTTGGTTTTATGAAGGGTCTATAGATCATGATTTAGATTAGTAGCATGCTTTAAAACCATTATAAAACTTGCAATGTTACTTGGGCTCCTCCATTGTCACTGTTTGGTGTTTTGCCGTCGTCCTTCATATTTATTTTTGTTTTTCTTTTTTCGTTTTCATCGTTTTTGGTTCTTTCTCCGTTTTTATCCATTCTGCTGGGTTCCTCATCCGGGCCACTATCAATCCAATTAGTTAGGTGTTGAATTACCATTCCAAATGATACGGGCTGTTATTGAATTGCGAGCAGAGAGAGGGAGATAATTTTGTATTACGATACCTACCGATAGATAGCCGATGGTCACTGCCACAGTAGGAGATAAGGGACGAGCAAATTTATGTAAATAGTTCAGTTACAAAATACACGTTGAAGGAAACAGAACTTACGTCGTCTGTTTCTCTGGTCGGCCGATGACAAAGTGATCGAGTGTGCATCAAAGTCCCCTCGTAAGAAGGGACTTAGTGATCGGTGACTCAGTTTTGGGCAGTTATTACTGAAGAGTTCGTCTCGGTGCTAGTTAACTACTAGTGAAGAAAGTCCTTCTAGTGCTGCAAGACGTCTATCGTCAACATTACATATGAGCCTAATACTCACCAACCAACAATTGGCAACGAGTTTTGACGACAGAGGCCTACCAAGGTTTTACCGGAACGGGGCAGCCGCACTATTAGCCCACTCGCCATATCAAGCAGGTGTCATCCTTCTTTATTCAGGGAGCAAAATATCAGGACTGTTAGCCCTGTAGCATGGTATCCAATCCATTTTGTTCATTATTCCATGCCGTGTCCAGTATGCCGTAATTATTTAGGATCTTACTGGCATCGATGCCGGTTGGCACTCCTGCGAGTTGACGAAGCATTTCCTCTATCGCCGTGCTATGGTTACCGCGCCCCCTCACTTTGCTATTTTCTGAAGGACAACATGGCCCAGGTTACACCTCGGGGAGGTGTGAGGTAGGAACTTGTGAGGCCAAGAGCTAAGTAAAACGCTCCTCCCAGGTCAACTCACCATTTGTAGCCTGTGTGTCATTCTCACCACTTTACCCTGCTGGGAGCGCTGAACAAATAGAACTGCTAAATATATTAGATCAAATCTAATGCTCAGTAATGGTGCCCTTTGCCTCAGTAATGGTGCCCGTGAAGATCGATACTTTAAAAAGAATAACTTTTGAGGCGTTCTCAACAAGGTTAAGGAAAAAGGTGTACTTATGTCCACCCACACCAGGTACAGCAAAACATCACAAAGACACCCTTATTCGTACTATCTATTCAGGGGTAGAAGGAAAAGATGAACCACCGCAGTCAACTGAAGCTTGCACCGGGTACCTGGACAATCCACACACATCGTTACCTTAGTACTGGGGGCATCTATTATTGCCACATTCTAGATCCAAATTAGTAGAGCCCAGTGCCAATGACAGGATCAAATACATTGGCCACACAACCTTCCGGTACCACCAGGTAAGTGTCTGAAGTAAACTAGTCTTATCAATTCAAATCCATGATCACTTACACCGCTTATGTGCTCTCTGTCTAAAGTGGCGCTGGTGGTGCAGTGGTAAGCGTGATTACCCCTCTCCCATCTGGGTTCAATCCTAGTCGGCGCCACCGCGATTTTCTGAGGCACAAAATCTCTGATCACGCCTTCCTTCGGAAGGGAAGTAAAGCCGTTGGTCCCCGGTTCATGAGTTGATGGGTCGTTAGGTAGAGTCCAGGTGTGGAAGCTGCCTCCCTGGCGTCGGTAGCATTGGTGCTCCGCACGGAATATAAGATCGACGGAAAACAATTCATGAAAAAAAAATAAAATCTGCCATTTAAGTCAAAACGAATTGCACGAAAATTGACACAGACATACATATAATTCAAAAATTATCTTACCCAAGGGTTATGCAACACTGCACATCTCAATCTATGCCAAGTACTTTATCTGTGCCAAGCATTGTGCCGAACGTGCCGAAGTGCCGCAATCAAGGTGTCAGTCGCAGTATACCATGAGTTTGGCAACCCTGCAGTTATGAATTTTGAGATTGTTTGTTTACAACTTACGAGTGTCCTGTTGAAAGTAAAACGAGCGTCTGTTCATTTATTTCACTTGGTTCAATGATGCCAAATGAATGTGTGCCATGAAGGAACTAACAAGCACGATCACAGTAGTAAACATATTTTGATTACAGCAAGAATTGCGAGTTCTAGTACCATCACATCTTCACAAACATCGATTCTGACCTTTGAGTTCATCTCGGAAAAGGCAGAATTAGAAATGATATCATTAGGCTTAACCTAGATTTTTGGGTTATCAGTTTGACCTACAGAACTGATCTCAACCAGGCTAGTCAAGGCGGACCCAATCCAAGACATGGAAGATAGGCAATCAAGGCAGGAAGGACACCGATTTTAACTATTAATATGCTAAAAAAATTACATGTTAGAAATTAAAACAAGATGTGTCGGCGACTCTATATGTGAAATGTAAGCACAAATGTTTGCTTGTCGTTGAATGTCATTCGATAAAGTAGTTCTCCAGTTGAAACAATTGTGTAAAAGATACCCAAAACCAGTGTTCACTCGGCTGTCGACAAAAGCAGGCCACTCTCGATGTGTGCTACGCGATCGTCAGTTTTCTCGGCAGCAACCATTGTGTGGTCCTCGTCATTGTTCTTCATCAGCAGTTCTTTCGGTCGATGCGTCGTCGACTTTGGAAAGCAACCGTTTCGTGATGAGTGTGTGAGTGCTGACCACGTTTTGCGCTGACCAGAGTGCTGACCACGATGGACGCGCTCTGACCCTCGTTGGCGTACAACAATTTGCCATACAATGAAACTACTGGAAGCGGCTCCAGTTCTGATGGAGGAGGCTTTTTGAATAGCGGAAGATAAAGTGTTTATTGTGTTGTACCTTTTGACTATAGTTTTAAGATGTATTGTATAGATACCAAGAATCCTCGGCTCTGTAAAGTTAATTCGGTTGAGCCTTATCAAATAAATTAATAAACAAAAAAAAAAAAAAGATACCCAAAATCATGATGCCTCTCGGGTTTTGTCTTCAGGACATAGAAGAAGAAAAGGATGTGAGTGGACAAGATTTTGATCGACCTGTAGATTATAATTATTATAGTTTATGAAATTAATATCTGCTTTAAACTTGATTTGCAAAAACATACCTGTTTCAAACTGGAAGTTGCTAACATCACATTTTACATTACTAGATAGAGTCACCCAATCTCCTATTGGTCCGGTCCATAATCAACGATATTTTCGTCGGTTTTCCTCACAGCTGCAAATTGGGCATACAGCTTCGGGCCGGTAGCTACCGCCTTCATTCCTGAACATCTGAATTATTAGGCCCTGAAGCTGTCCAAGGAAATTATAATACAATGATCTAGGAATCGGCCATCGGGGTTTTGAAGACGATACCTTTCCAGGTTGTCGATATGGACTCCGAGCTTCCCATACTTGGTGTCCAGCTGGCGGCACCGGCGAACATCTCCGTCGCATGTGCATACCTACCATGCGGACGCCTGCCAAACCTGCACGATCAACTCAGCGAAGCCATAGCTAAACTACCGGAACCGCGCATCCTGGTTGGGGATCTGAACGGGCACCACCCAAGCTGGGGCTGCCCCCGCTCCGACCCTCGAGGTGTTACCCTGGTCGATATTTTCGAGAAGGAAGACATGGTGATTCTGAATGACAGTGTGCCCACGTACTTTAACGGGCGGCATACTTCTGCCATCGACGTCTCTGCTGTCAGCCGCTGCTTTACCGGAAAAACTCAGTGGAGCGCGAACACTGATCTCTATGGTAGTGACCACTACCCCATCAAAGTTCAAATTTCGACCGCCATCTTCCCGATGACAACACGGAGGCCCCGATGGCGCTATGAACAAGCGGACTGGGATAGCTATGGTGAAGCCTTTCAGTCCTTGTTACTACAGCGTAATCCGAACAGTATTGAAGACTTTTCAGAAGTGGTATACGAAGCAGCAACAGCAACCATCCCAAAAACCAGCAGCGTTCCGGGGCGAAAAGCGCTACGCTGGTGGAATGAAGATACGAGGAAAGCCGTTAAAGCCCGGTGTAAAGCACTTCGCCGTGTAAAGCGCCTTCCTATCGGACATCCCGATCGCCAGGACGCTCTCCGTCACTACCATGAGTCGCACAATCAATGCCGGCAAGGAATCCGTGTCGCCAAACGAACAAGCTGGATGGACTTTCTGGAAGGAATGAATTCGTCACAGTCTTCGGCTGACTTATGGAGGCAAGTCAACGCCCTCAGTGGGAAACGGCGCATGACACCGCTCCACGTACAGATTAACGGTGAAGCTGTTTCTGACCCTGCAATTGTAGCGGACGAACTCGGCTCGTACTTTGCCAATCTCGCAGCCATCGAGAAGTACGAAGACGAATTCAAGCGGAAAGCTAAGCCTTCGACGTCATCCATTGCAAGTTTTTCTGTTTCTTCTGACGCTGGAAACTCGGACATCAACCAGGCATTCTCCTGGCAGGAATTGAAGCATGCCCTCCGCTGCAGCAACGGAAAGTCGGCGGGTCCCGACGAAATCGGGTACCCTCTACTCAAGAGGTTACCAACGCCAGGCCAGCTACGGATGCTGGAGCTTTTCAACAAGCTCTGGCTCACCAACTCGTATCCAGCCTCGTGGAAAGAGAGCTTAGTCATCCCCATCCCAAAAGCCAATGAAACAACCCGTGAAGCTAGCAAGTTCCAGCCAATAGCCTTGACATGCTGTATGGCCAATGTCCTGGAGCGAATAGTCAACAGGAGGCTAAAGCATTTCCTTGAAGCCGAAAACCTTCTAGACCATCGACAGCACGCCTTCCGTCAAGGGTACGGAACGTCAAGTTATTTTGCAACATTAGGGGAGGTCCTCAAGAGTGCCAACGATAGCGGTCTCCACACTGAGATCGTCTCGCTGGATATATCGAAGGCCTTCAACAGGACGTGGACGCCCCTCGTCTTAGAGCAGCTTGTCAACTGGGGGCTGTGTGGACCCATGGTCCACTTCATCAAAAATTTCCTGACCGATCGCTCTTTCAGAGTCGCAGTGGGCAACACGAGGTCCCAGCTTTTCAGAGAAGAGACGGGCGCCCCTCAAGGTTCAGTTATCGCCGTTACCCTCTTCCTTGTGGCCATGAACGGAGTTTTTGGAGGACTGCCGAAAAATGTTTACATTTTCGTGTATGCAGACGATGTACTTATCGTAACTACCGGCCCAACAGCAGCACGCAACAGGATCAAGGCCCAGGCAGCAGTCTCCGCTGTAGCCAGGTGGGCCAGCGCGGTAGGTTTCCAGCTTTCGGCCACGAAAAGCGTCAGGTGCCACTGTGTCCATCCCGGCACCGTGTCAGCGGGCCACCTATTAAAGTTCAAAGCCAGCCCATACCACTGAAGAAGACGGTCCGTATTCTGGGGGTACTTGTTGACCGGTCCCTCAACTTCGAGCAGCACTTTAAGGCGATCAAAAACAACTGCCGCAGTAGGATCAACTTGATCCGCACTATCTCTCGCTCCCACCGGTCTAACAATCGTGACACTCGTTTCCGGGTTGCAAGAGCCATCATCGATAGTCGCCTACTGTACGGTCTTGAGATGACGTGCATCGCCACCGAAAAGCTCGTGCAGATACTAGCACCGACTTTTAACACCTACGTTCGGATTGTCTCCGGTCTTCTTCCGTCAACGCCGCCCGCCGATGCCGCATGCATCGAAGCGGGTATTCTGCCCTTCCGCCATCGTATAACCGCAGCAATTGCAACGAAAACCGCTGCCTTTACCGCAATGACCTCCGGAAATGACAGGATCTTTCTCCTCAATGAGGGGAACAGACTCCTCCGCATGACTGCCAATTCGAAGCTCCCCCCAGTGGCCAAGGTCCACTGGTACGGAGACAAAAGTTGGCGCATACCTCCACCAAAAATCGATAGTCGGATAAAAAGCAGGTTCAAGGCTGGAGATAACTCTGCAGCGCCGAAGAGAACAATAGCCGAACTGCTAGGCTCGGACTATCCAACCCATGCCCACATATACACAGACGGATCGCTTTCCCGAGCCGGGGTCGGAATTGGAGTAGCCGGAATTTCAGCACCGATGAGTAGCAGCCTACCACCACAATGCTCGGTTTTCTCCGCTGAAGCTGCGGCCATCTTTGTAGCCGTTACAACACCCTCGGACCGGCCCATACTGGTGCTATCCGATTCGTACAGCGTGATACAAGCCCTTACATCTGAGACCCTGACTCACCCCTGGATACAGGCTATTATGGATGCCACACCTCCAAACACGGTGTTTTCATGGATCGCTGGGCACTGCGGTATCTCAGCAAATAGCGAAGCCGACAGCCTGGCAGGGTCTGGACCAGCTGGCCCCCGTTACACCGATAAAGTGCCACTAAATAATCAGCAAAATGTGGGAAGCCTGAGAAGCAGAGTGGTGCCAATCCCAATCCTTCTTCATCCGAAGAATCAAAGTCTAAAATACGGGACCAGAAGGTGGTTTTTTGTCTTAGGACAGGCCATACAAGGATCTCACATAGTTTTGGTGGGACGCAGTTCCACAGAATGTGCTACGTTTGTGGAACCACTGCATCGGTGAAACACATCCTATGCCTGTGCCCGCAATACCAACAACTACGGGAGCAGTACGCACTTCCCAACAGCATTAGGGACATACTGGGCGACGAACCTTCCACTTTAGCGACAGTTATTTATTTCTTTAAGGACGCTGGGTTATACAACAACATTTAAGTCCTTTTAACTTTCTTTCGGCTGACGGTACATCTCTACCGGACGGGGGATTACCCCTCCTACGGTGGAGCTCAGATCTCTTTCAAAACCCTACCCAACTTTGATGTACCAGATTGTTTTTATTTTCTCGTTGCCTGTATTGTTAGTCTTTTTACTGGAATCTGTTTTAATTGCTTCTATTTGAGTACATGTGAATTGTAAGCCAACTTCGTAACAAAATTTGCTGGCAGAACCCCCCTCTGGGGCCTCCCATTTTATAGAGATGAACTAGCCAACGGCTAAAAATCTCTCTAATAAAGTTAAAAAAAAATCTAGGAATGTTTCTGAAAAAGTATTGTGATATGCTCACTAATTAACTGTTTTGTTTGAGTTCTACTTACTGGGAAGTAAAATGTCTCAAATTTTTTTCAAATAGTGTAGGTCCACTTTGATCCACCTCCATGGCGGAAACTTAATACATCACAATCAACTCTAATAAATAATTTAATTGCACCAGTATTGACGGATATTGTCATTTGGAGTAAACAAACCTTAGCAACGGGTAAATCGATTAGAAAAACTGCACCACTCATCAGTGGGCCCTTTTTAAAATATTTTTTGGGTCATCCGTATAAGCATGTGCCTTAATGTGCCGAACAGTTTGTTTCGGCACAGTGTGCAGAGTTGATTCCCCCTTGATTTTACCTTTCTTCTTTCAATGCAGACCTGAGCATTTTTTTATTCGAATTTTATAGAAGTACGGAGAGTCAAATCGATCCATTTTGGAAATTATTTGCAAGCAATATACGTTCCTCTTGCCTTATGGCAATCATTAATCATAAGCCACAAATCATTGTGAGATTGTGGCTTCGTAATAAAGCTGTTCTGTTACCACCTATCAGCACAATGTGCTTATACCTATCCAAAACACACACCACTCCCATTCTTACCCCTGAAGTAGGGACGTGATTGAAAACTATGGTTCTCACGTCTTATGAAGGCTATTACCTTGTTTGTATCTTTTCCATTGAAATTCTACAAACCATGTTATTACTTCGATCAATCTAAAAAAAAAATGCAATTTTCAACCACGTTGCGACCATCCCTAGCTTTCTCAATGCAAATCGTGAATAAATTGCGCGCGGTTTCGCTCGGAGCCTGTCTCATTGCAAATTACCCGGTGGATTTAACGCTCCCGAATCGGTCAATCATTGCCTAGCGCTGTATTCTACGAGATAATGCTTCAACGTAGCCGTTGGCTGGGGACTGGAACCCGTGTGTTGAAGGAAATGTTACACACTTATATTTCACGGACCGACAGCATTTGAGTAATTGTTGAAATGTGGTTTCACCTGGCAGTCCCATGTGGGTGGGAGGGAAATGCTTCCACTTCAGACGAATTGCGGCTGGTTCTATTATTGCCCATGTATCAAATGAATATTAATTACAACGTCGTCGTCAATCGTACCGTTAGCTCAAACCAACGCACCGAATGCTACGGTCTCTTGACTTGGATCGCTGGCGTTCCCATTGTGCCATAAGGACTGACCGCTTGCTCGCCACCCAACCACCATCAAGGAAAGCAGCTTTTCATCGAAACCGATATTGCATTGCCGAATGTGTGGGTGTGTGTGTGTATTTCAGAAGTGCGAGCTCCTACAGTATTGGGCTCTGCCAGAGCGGAAGAACGGAATCAAGCGGGTGGGCTCAGTCGGTAATTGTTCTCCAGAGATTATGGTTTCGATATTAATATGATTTTGCAATTTGGTCTCCGTTAAACGATACGGGGTTTCGGTTTCTGGCTTCGGACAGCAACAGTCGAACCGATCTGGTCAGTAGATTAAAATTGGTAGGCGATGGAAATGAGATTTGCCACGAAAGGGCCTCAAGGCGATCGTTCAGAATTAGATTTGTTGTGGTTACGATGGAAGGCGATGATGATTTTACTTTTCGATAGAACGAGATCCCTAGAGGGTCGAACAAATGGACTGTGGAAAAGGGCAGTTCCAGGTCAAATAGCAAAAAACAAAGGTGTTAGACTTTTCCAATTTGCATGGTATTTAACATTTTTCAATCAGTCGTAGCACGAAAACATCAATCTTATCGAAACGCCGTCTGGAAAAAAGTTGTAGGAAAAATATATAAGTATTTCTTTGTATAAAAATCACGTTATTTTTTAAGCAGTTTTGTAATAAAAATCCTTAAAAGTGTTAAAACTTAAATAACAAAAAATTACTATGATAATTATTGTTTATTTTTTAATATCAAAAATTTGACCAAAAGGTGTTCATCTATGATTGTTGACAGATTGTATGTGTCCAAAGTTTTGAATATTTCAAAAGATTCCATTTTTTATAACCTTTCCAAAAATGTTGACAAAAAAATTGTATGTTATTTAAGGTTCCATCACTTATTTAGATTTTTTATTCAATATTACCATGTATATTTTTCCTAGAAGCACTTTATTTTTCCCTACAACTTTTTCCCGTACGTCATTCCGATTAAAAGTGACGTATTTGAGCTTCGTTTCATTGAAAAATGTTGAGTATGCCATTTTGGATAAAATTTCAAGGATAAAAATGGATGTACAGTCAAGATTCCTGAAGTGCGGATTCGTTCTTGCCGGATTCCTATAGTACTGATGCCACTGAATTCCTATCCCGAGCAGGAAAAAATAACTTATTAATACCAAATTCAGGTTTAAAAATAGCATAACTGGCAACCTAAATATGGTATTAGTAAGGCTGACATGGGAGGTATAATACCAAAAATAATTCCTCAAAAATATTTCACGAATAACGAACTCATAAATAGTTTAGTTATTACAATAACAAACGGATAACAGACGCTTTTTAAGATGCCAGAATACCATAGTTTGTTATTTTGAAGGTCTTCTAATATCAATTAATAACTCTTTTATGTGTTATTATCTGAAAACTGAAAGATCACATTTTGTTAGTTTGGTATTCATTTGATATTTTACAAAATATTTCGATAACTGAATAATATCAAAACAAGGTTTTATACCACAAGCATACCAAAATCTGTTATAATACCACATTAAGATATTCATTTGTTATCGATTAGATACCCGAGCAGGAACCGGTAGCTGACCGATAACATATGAATATCTGAATGTGGTATGATACGTTATTCTGGTATGCTTGTGGTATAAAAACTTATTTTGATATAATTCAGTTATCGAAATATTTTGTAAAATATCAAATAATTATTAGTTCGTTATTCGTGGTATTTTACCTCTTATGTCAGCCGCGTCAATACCATATTTAGGTTGCCAGTTATGCTATTCTGTTTGGTATCCATAAGGTATTTTCTCCTTCTCGGGTATCGGTTCCTGCTCGGGATAGTACGGTCGATCCGGCATATGGGATTAGAGCTAATTGGGACCAAACACTGATTTTACGGCAATTTGAAGAGATAACTTCCTGATGTCTTTAGAGAAGTTGTTAAGCAGATAGTTGACCACCTTTTGGGAAGAGTCAGTTTTCGGAAGGACATGAGTTTTGTCCTGTGGAAGATCCGGAACATCCGTAAAAGTGGTCAATTCATGAAAATGATCCTAGAGCTTCGTGGTTTTTTAGAAACCACTCATAGACATCTTATCAAAACGAATTCGGAGTTGTGTTCAGAATATGGACTCTGGAGACTACGGGATGGTCTACTTATAGATGCGGAACATCCGTAAATCTAGTAAATTCATGAAACTAATCCTAGAGCTCCGCGGTTTTTTAGAAACCACTCATAGACGTAATATCACAATAAAATCGGAGTTTTGACCAGAAAATGTATACTGGAGACCACGGGATGGTCCGCTTTAAGATCTGGAACATCCGTAAAAGTAGTTAATTCATGAAACTGATTCTAGAGCTCCGTGGTTTTTTTTAAACCACACATAAATTAATATGAATAATAACTCAAGATGATATTTTAAAATGGCTTATTGATTAAATTTTGAGGTTATGAATTTAAACTATAAACATAAAAGATAGTCCCTCGTTAACTTGTAACTCCAAAGAAAGATCTTCAAGAAGTCAAGAGAAAGAAGTCCAAGAAATAAAAGAAATAATATTCAAATAATCCGTTAAAAGCGCATAGAAGTTATAAAATACTTTAATAACATATAAAAATCGTCCAGGATAATAAATAGAAAAAATAATGTCTATGAGCAGTTCCAAAAAAACCACTATCCACTTTAACGGATGTTCCGCATATTTCGGAGGACCTTCCAATGGACCCTGGGTTCATTTTCCAGTCTCAACTCTGGGTTCTGATGAGACGTCTTTTATCTTCCAGAGGAGTATTCATGGTCTCCAGGGTCTATTTTCCGATTTTTTTATAAGACTTCTACGAGAGTTTTCGAAAAAATACGGAGTTCTTGGATCAGTTTTTGAATTAACCAGCATCCACCTTGATCCCAAAAACGTATTTCGGAAGACAAAAATGTTTGCGTCCAAACCATCACTGTTAGGCATATGGTGTCTTGGAGGAAGTTTCTTTATAGTTTTTGACCAATCATTTTATGTTAGTGAAATTAGGGTGGTCAACAAAATTGGAGAATTGAAAATACAAACTTTTTTATTATTTGAGATATACCAATGCAGTATTCTACGAATATGTAGAACAATAAATTCGAAGCAACTTTGTTCAAGACTCCTAATACCTACCTCTCATGGTTCATGAGTTGTGATTTTTTTCAAACAAGCAGGCTAGGGTGGCCCCTAAAATAACAGATTTCGTTGAATATTTTTTCATACGTTCAATTCTCGTAAAAACGTCGTTTTGGGCACATTTAGAACATATGATGCTGCATATTTTTTTCTTGAGCAACCAGGTTGCTGTCTTGTTTGATCAGAAAGTTAATAGAGATTTGCTTCGAAAGATCGTGAAAAAACTGTGAGACCGTTTTTTGTTTAGTGTATTTAATTTAATTAAAAAAGTGACATTTTTAGCAAAAACTAGCCATAACTTTTCAAATAAAGGAAATATCAACTTAGTTGCTTCGGCAAACAATATGCGTCATACAAAGTTCTAAAAGTATTAAGAACAAACTTTCTACAAGAAATGGACGTATAAAAATATGTTTAAAGAAAGCCGATTTCATTGCGGCCACCCTAACCTGTTTTTTTTAATTAATCATAACTCCTGAACAATAAGAGATAGAAAATGTTTGTTTTCAGCCAAATTGCTTCAAGTTGATTGTTCTACAACTTTTTTAAAAACTTCATTGGTCTACCTCAAATAATAAAAAAGTTTGTATTTTCAAATCACCGATTTTATGGACCACCCTAATTTTGCTAACAAATAAATTGGCCAAAAATACAAAGAAACTTTCCCCAAGACTCCATGTACCTAAAATTGATGGTTTGGGTGCTAATATTTTTGTCTTTTTATATACGACCATTGTGCACTGGTCCCCAGGGTCAATTTTCTGGTCAGAACTCCAAATTCATTCTGATAAGACGACAATGAGTGGTTTTCAAAAAAGCGAACCTCTAAGCTCAGTTTCAAGAACTGAACAATTTTATGGATGTTCCTGATCTTAATGGTGGACCATCTCGTGATCCCAAGGGTCCATTTTACGGTCACCACTCCCATTTTATTCTGACATCTATGAGTGATTTTGAATGCTCAGAAGAGCCAATTTTCCGATCACAAATCCGAATTCATATTGATAAGATGTCGATTAACGGTTTTGAAGCAAACAAAAAACGTGGAGCTCAAGGATCAGTATAATTAATTGACCACTTTTACGGATGTTTCAGATCTTTCGGTGGACCATTCTGTGGTCACCAGGGTCTATATATTTGTCGCAACTTTGAATTAACTCTTATAAGACGTCTATGAGTGGTTTTGAAAAAACCGCGAAGCTCTAGGATTAGTTTCCTAAATTGACCACTTTTACGGATGTTCCGGATCTTCCACAGGACCAAACTTGTGTACTACCGGAAACTGTCTGTTTCTTAAAGGTGGTCAACTATCTGCTTAACAACTTCTTCAAAGACATCAGAAAGTTTTCTCTTCAAATTGTTTGGTCCCAATTAGCTCTAATCCCATATACTACGTGTATTCGTGAATGCTGGTTCCTATTGTGCGGTCCCTTTTAACCGTACTATAGGTATATTGACTGTATTTTCACAAAAATGTGATGGATTGTCAATAGCAAACAATTATACAAAGTTTCATGCAAATCGGGGAAGGTAGAGTATGATTGTTTCACTATTTCGCGTGGAACTGCTCAAAAGGTACTTTTTGATGGAATATGATTATTGTTGTTCAGAAAATTGTAAACCTTGCATTAATTCATTTATGAACAAATATGCTATAAAAAAAGAAATAATTTAGCCTTCCCTTGTAAATAAGTAATCCGTATCCGTTATTAGAACGCGGATTGGACCAGCATTCAAATTATAACTCGTGCTTTACGGCCTCATATTTCCATCTTGAATGCTCGAATGCCCCATCGCTATTTTTTCAGAAGCTAAGTTTACGTCTGCTGAGAACTATCAAGATTTCATTTGATAACCACTGACAATTTGATAGGTGGCTTCTAAACACACAATTTGTCTCCAATATGCATGGTTCAGGGCAAGAAGTGTCCAACAGATGTCTGCTAAAAGCGACCAGTGAATGGTCATATGTGAGCAATGAAAAACGTCGCAAACGTTGACTTCTTGATACCAAACACGTCCCATGACATAAACCTCTTCCGATCCCAACATCTTGCAACAAACAAACAATTGAATTAATAATAAGCCCTCTTACCCTCAGAGAAAGGTCCATTGACAATTTGTATCGCAGCCTGATTCGGTTGTCTTCCCGGAAACTGAAGCAATTTCATTTTTTTTGTTCTTGCTTACCGCTACTCTCCAAGCTTTATAAAAGGATGTTCTCAAAATTAACCTTTCGCCTTCTTGGAACAGTATGTCGTGAGCAGAATGAAAATAAATCCCAAAAAGCTCTCGACCTGCGTGGCATCCCATTAGGGCCAGGTGACTTCCCAAGTTTGTATGCAAACGAGCAGGAAAAATGCCTTCGTTGGGGTACCGGAGAGCAGCGGATAAAATCTATTAGGCCCTTGATAAAGAGATATTCACTCCGAAAAAAAAAAATGTGCCGCAGCTCTGCCCAGCGCCAAAGGTTGAATAGGAAAGTGGGAAAACTTTTAGTCCGCTTCCATCTAACGAAATTTACGCCCAGATTGACTTGGAAGCATATTTTTCTTTGCTTTATTTGGGCCCAAGTTGGCAGATGGGGGGTAAAATAGGCAAAACTAGCTCCAGGCAGCGAAAAGGATCTTCCAATTTGTCTTTTTTTTTGTCTAAGGTATGGTAAATTTATGGCACGTGTCCCAGTGGAGTTCAAAAATTGTCCCCACCGGCGGGGGAAAAGTTTTGGTCTTCGCGCAAATAGTCAGAATAGAGATGGTGCGGGAAGATGAGTTCATATTCTTTTCCAGAGTTAATCAAATAAGCTTAGCGGAGCTTTATACTGTGTATTTACTCCGGCGCTTATGAGGGAACAAGAATTTTCCATTATAAAACAAATATGTGCGAGCCACGATGTAAATTGCGTTATTTTGATGTTGAAACGCTGTCAACTAATGACAAATTAGATTCGAATTGTATTTGCGTGGATTCGAATGGAAGAAGAAGACTTTGCTTTGTCAGCTAATTTGGCAAATAAAAAAGAGAAAAACACTCAGTCACTAAATACTAAATAACGATTTACGGGCCCTATACATCGCCCTCGTTCCGGAAATACCCATGTTGTTTGGTATTTCATAGTTTTTGTATAACCGGTAGTTTTCATCTTGGATATCAAATAGGCGTAAATGATTGATTTCCAGCCTTCATAGTCGCTCCCATTAAAAAACATATTGTGAGTATTTGGCAGTTTTACTAGACCCGGAAACCATCGGCTTTGATTAATAAATGCCGTCAGTAATCGAGTTCCGGTCTTTAACCGTTGTTTCCGTTTCTAAAACACCCATATTATTGGGAATTTCATAGTTTTCTTAAGCCGGAAGACGCAGTCTTAGATCTTGAAAACAGAGTTCAGCTATCATGGATTCCAAAATGGCATTAATCATTGATTTATGGCCTCTACACATCATTTTCATTCTTAAAATACCCATATTGTAGGGTATTTGACAGAAGTAGGATTCACACTGGCGCCGCACAGTGGCTTATTTCGAGCAAAAAAACAGACGCAATTCAGAAACGGTCTTTCAGCTTACGGAAGATAGTGAATCTTATGTAAAAAATTCCGGGGAATCTCATGGTGCAAACCCCTTTCCGGAAAAATGGCAGGAAACGTCCGATTTCTCCCTTTTTCCCCTATAAATGAGAAATATTTGAAAATATCGATCTATAACAATCTGCAACTTCGATAAAGACATTCAAAAACCATTGTACCTTACGTAAAAAAGTCTAAGGAATCGAATGCCAGTATCCTCTTTGATGTCAAAAATCTTAAATTGGCCCAATTCACCCGTTTTCCCTTATAAGTTGAAATTTTTGGAAATATTGATCTATAACAATACGCAATTTCAATAAAGATATTCAAAAACCATGCTGCCTCACGTAAAAAAGTCCAAGGAATCGAATGCCGTTATCCCCTTTCATGTTAAAGATCGAAAAGTGGCCTAATTCACCCGTTTTTCCCTAAATATTGAAATTTTTCAAAATATCGATCAATAACAATCCAAAACTTCGATAAAGGCAGTCAAAACCCATGCTACCTTACGTAAAAAAGTCCAAGGAATCGAATGCCGGTAAACCCTTTAACGTCAAAGATCGAGAAGTGGCACAAATTGCCCATTTTCCCCTATAAGTTGATTTTTTTTTTTTAAATATCGATCTATAACAATCCACAACTTCGATAAAGATATTCAAAAACCATGCTACCTTACGTAAAAAAGTCCAAGAAATTGAATACCGTTATCCCCTTTCATGTCAAAGATCGAAAAGTGGTCTAATTCACCCGTTTTCCCCTATAAGTTGAAATTTTTGAAAATATTGATCAATAACAATCCGCAACTTCGATAAAGACATTCCAAAGCCATGCTACCATATGTAACAATAAGTTGAAGGGATCAAATTCCGGCATCCTTTATACTGTCAAAGATCAGAAATCAAATCAAATGTTGCCCGCTCAAGACATTTTCATTAGAAATAATAAGAAGCGTTTTGACTTTGACTTTGCACCTGTGCAAAAATGTTATCAATTTTAATTCTTTTTTATCATGTAGTATCATCCTCATCGCTTTCCTATTCACTCTCATTTGATTCATCATCGCCCATCTCCTCATCATCACTTTGTACATTGCTATCGTCTTCATCGGCCTTATCATTATCATCTTGATCGGAATAGTAAAATGTCATCTGTCGCTCAAACAGCTCGTCTTTTATTCTTTTCCGTGAGCGTTCTGCTGGAACATCTTGATCAGCGTGTTTCGGGTCTGACCAGGTCAATGAGAGGCGCATCATGTCTTCCAAGTTGTTCTCTGGTGACGTTTTCCGAGAAAGATGCGTTCTGCCATATTTGGACCGTTTATGGCACCTCTCACCGGCTTGTTCATCCGCAAAACTTAGAGGATATGGCTGAAATGGTTCAGTTATGAAATTAGTTTTTCTTACTGCCATAAGAATCTTTTAATTATAGCTACCAATTTTTCGATGTACTCCGGTAGGTGTGAATATTTATGCATTGATGGCGGTATTTTATTATTCAGGAATGGAAACTGCTTCCAGATCTGCTGTTCAAGCTGCGCATACAATTGTCTGACTTTTTCGGCGTTAAGATGTTTGGATGACAATGCCAAAGAACTTATCATTCTGAGCTTTTCTACCAACTCCTGGCTGATTCCCAAAATGGCGGAGAAGTTCTTTGGATCAGCGAGGAGTCTTCGAGCCATGTTTCCGTTATTGGATGAGCCGCTTCCTCCGATTTTCGGTCTATTTATTAAGAGTTTAAAGTGGCTCTCGAGCTGTCTGGTTATCTCCTTTCTCTTCTCCTTAACTTTAGTGTCCTTTTGTGCGGGATGTCCAGGAATGTGCAGCTGACCAGAGACCCGAATCAGCCATTCTACACAGTTCAGTCGACAATGGTAAAAAGACGGTCCAATCCGACCGTCTGCTGCGTTGACGCATAGAGGACACTTATGCGTGTCAGTGTTTTTGTTCACCGCATTAGCAACTTTGCCGTCAACCATCGAGTAAAAAGCCGAAACCGTGTCGTTCATCCTCAATCCTTGCTGAATAAAAAAAAAGTGCAATGAGAATAAGAAATGTTTATAATATGAGAGATAATACCTCGTTTTCAACGACTAGTGGTTCTTCCGCGATATGGTCAACCTCTGCAAAAAACTTGCCGAACAGATCCCTTGTTACACAATCAGTCTCTTTTTGCCAGCTCATAGACTTAGCTCGGCAAAATTTATCCGATTGTGGGTTGGGATTTGTCCACAGTTTTCCCCCGATCTGGTCTCCAAAATTAGCGGGAGCACGCATTCGGTGAGCAACGAATTATCCTTCGTCATAATTCCTTTCTGGCTGTACTGGCTGAAACCGGTAGCAGAGTCTACGCCAGCCGACAGTAACAAAACACAATCCACGTCACCGTCCATCATGATCACAGCCTCCTGAACTTCCTCCAAGCTAAGTAATCTCTCGATAATATTTACGACCATGTCTCTTAGAGCTACCCTACAGGTTAAAACTCCGTTGTCCCAAATCGGAGGATCATACGCCGGAATGATGGCATCTCGATGCTGCATCGCCTCCTCCCACGGAACTAAGCAGATCCTACCATAAATGGACTTGCTATACTTTCTGATACTGGCGTACTTTCTCCGTGTCAGGCCCAATCGAGTTTTGAGACGAAGCGACTTCTCTGCTGTTGGTTTGACAAGCTTCTCTTGCCTTGCCTTCTTCAAAGCTTTGCATGCCCATTCCTCTCCGCGTATCCTCAGCTTTCGGAGCATTTTTGCCATACTTGGAGACAAGCTATGCATGCTACATAGTTTTTCAGCTGCCCGCAGCAATTTCTCCAAAGGCTCTGTATCGGCTAAAGCTTTGCTTTGCTTGCTCTTCAAGCTTTCAGAGAGATCTTCGAAGCATTTATTTTTCGGACCACGTTTTCTCTTCGAAATTGGGGCGACCTATTTCAAAAGTAAGAACGTGCAGGGCATCCTTGATAATGACACACTTAACGCAACAAACATTTACCAGGTTTAACTATTCTACTAGAAAAACTCTACCTACATAGTCAACAACCATAGAATTGGCAAAACAAATTGTCAATTCAATGAAAATAATAGAATGTGTTTTAAATAATAATATATCTTACCACGAACGTTTCATCGAGCCATCTCCGGTATTTCTCATAAAATTTTCGTTTCCCATGCGACAATTTCCAGCGGTAGCGGAAGTTTCGAATCCACGTTGTAACAGCAGGCAACAGTTCTTTCCGATTGCTCACA